CGAATAATATTTAATTTATGATGAAATTATCTGACTAAATTTTGATTCTCTCATCTTGTAATGTAATTTGTTGTAGGCATGGCTGCGATGCAAGCAACATCATGAATAACGGCAAGCCTGTGCACAATAACGTGATGCTGGACATATTGCAAGACTCTATGAGGAAAAGCCTCGATATGTTTATGAAGAGCCTTATATGTTTCAGGTATATAATTTTGTTTGAAATATAGTTTGTATTTATATTATACACTATGCTATCTTTTATTCTTGTTATTACACCATGCTAAGTGACACAAACCTTATTGATACATTAACCGATTGTGGCCTTCGCCCTTCCCCTTCCCAAAACTCATGAGATATTTATTGAAGACCCTCACGAATGTACGGAGTTGTCAGGTAATTTAGCAGCCACACGTCGACGGGGAAGATTTTTGGTAGTGATCCAGTTGCAGGATTATGAGTTGGCTAAGATATGACCGCACATCAGCACTGTACATTTCTAACGGCTCAACTGAATCCTCTAACGACGCTTCCTTCTTTCCTATCCCAAAGAAAATTGAGTAGATATTGACGAACTCAGAGAAGGCCGTAGTTTTTTGTTCAACGGCTGTAACGCCGACCTCGTGACTTTGTTGTTGTATACCCTTCTTTATCAGTTTCTATGATCCCTGTTTCAAACGGAGGCTAAATTAGTATATTACTAAACCAGTTGATAGGTAACCACTGAAAATGGCTATGTGATTTGTATAAGTGCTAGGTGGCCAAAATCAAACTCTTGAGCAATAGGGCATTAAAGTCATTTCTGGAACGTCACAGTCTCATGCGTAATCGTATGGGGTAGTGACCTCAGCCTATGTAAAAAAAGTTTTAATTTGATTAATTGTTCGTATACAGAGTATGTCAAATAAGACACGATTCCTCCAAGACCATGATCTGGTCTTCGAGGATTCATACGTTAATGATTTTATTGGCAAACTGAATTTTTGGGCAGCATTACCGCTGTGCGTCTTCGCTTTTGTGGCAAGGGAATGCGAAGTTTCCTTATTCTTGATGTCGTTCTCTAGGTACTAGTTAAACGTGAATTTTGTCATAACTTTGATTGTTTAAATCCGGTTGAAGATTATCGTATTATAATGATTGATTTAAATATTGTCGTCTGTTAATATCCATGGTGAATTGTTGCATGGAGTACTTTGTGTATTATTGGCAGTACTCGTAGGTTAAAATTTAAAGGCGGTGTTCTGTAGTGAATCAGGAAGTTCGTTGGTCAAAGCAAAGAAGCTTGTTTAAAATTGGCGTTTTTATCAGACGCTTGCTTCATTGCATTTTATTGTTTCATACTTTTTGTGTTTTATTCTCTGACTTTTGGGCTATCCAGATTTCCAGACTCATTGCCAGCGATTGACCAGCAGTATTATAAAAATTGATTAGTCGGGGCATTTCTTGTTGAAGACTCACCTGAAAGTACGTAAATACTTTTTAAAATCTCAGTATTACTGAGGCGAGAATCATTGCTCACAATCAGATGTTGGGCAGAATTTGTCTGTCCGTCTGTTTTTTAAACGCAG